GATGGCGCCGTGGTTGTTCCAAAGTGGCGGACAATGGCTGTGCGGGTGGCCTGCGGTAGAGAGCCGTGTAGTTTGTATACGGTTATTGGATTGGCTGGTGTAGAAAGTATAGGGGATGGAGAGATTGCATCTGCGCTTGGGTCGATCGCTGGGAGTTTGGCTGTGGATTTTGAGGAACTAGACTTGTCTTTTTTCGGTGTTGTTTCAGCATCAGAGTCGCTATCTGGTTCGGGGTCAGAGGACGAGGCTGGAGGAGTAGGTGGTTTTGATGTTGTTGCGGAGGTGGGCTTGTCTGTTATGGACGAGTCCTCAGCTGAGGAACGCGTGAGAACTTTGTAATGGAACTCGACCGAGTCAGCACAAGAGACGAAGACAATGGCTTTCATGACGGAACCTCTGCGTGCAAAAGTTCGTTTGAGGAGAGCAGTCAGCGTGACAAGTCGTAGCTTTGAAGCTGTGACGAGATAAGACTGCTTGAGCTGTGCAGGAGCCAGGAAAGCAGACCCGGCACCGTCATCTTCTCGGTCAGCCTCATCGTCAGTTGACTCCCCCTTTATCAACACCGCGTCTTTCAGACTTATTTCGCCAAGCTTCTGAACATTCATTTTCAGAGTCGCAGAACAGAGAACTGTCGTTCGCTCATCAGGAAGACCTGGTCTGCTTGATTTGCGCTTCTTTTCATCAAGTGCCTTGACAATTTTGGTGATGTCCTCTTCAAACCCAAGGTCCATGAGCCGGTCACCTTCGTCAAGGACGAGCCAACGGACAGTGCTGATATCTAGAACTTTGGTGTTGTCAAGATGATCAACCAATCGACCGGGCGTGGCGACTAGAATATTCAGACCTTTGCGTAACCGTGCCTTTTCAGATTTCTTCTTCTCACCACCTATCACTGTGCCAGCAACAATGTAGTGAGCACAGCCGAGTAAGCGTTCAAGGACGACCGAAATCTGCTTGCACAGTTCTCGTGTTGGCGCGAGGATGATGGCAAAGAGGCCCGAATCTCGATGTAATGTTGGGTCACGGGTAGCATGGCTTGCTCCCTTTTCCGACTCAGCCATAGTGATGATCCGTTGGACAATTGGCAAGAGATATGCGAGGGTCTTGCCGGATCCAGTCTCGGATTGTATGAACGCGTCACTGTTTTCTTTCAACATCTGGGAAATGGCTGCTTTTTGAATGGCTGTGGGATTCTTGAGGTTCATCTTGGTCAAGAGGTGTGCAGCCACTGTAGGAGACAGGCCGAGTGAGGTAAAAGTGTCTATACCGTCCACGAGTGGTGCATTTGAAGGCACTGCCGCCTCCTCTTCTGTGACCTTCTCTTGTTCCCTTTCTGCGGTTGTAACTGACTTTGGGTTGTAAGTGAACAGGGACGAGATAACCTCGCGCGGGCCCTTTGAGGGTTTTTGATCGTGAGATTTATGGATATTTCCACCGGCCTCGACTGCTCCGGGTGTGTAGTTATCTTCACGCCTTCTCTTTGCAGGTCTCGAATCTCCAAAGTTTTCTGTCTGCTCCTTGGTCTGTCGTCGTGATTGCAAGGGTACTTTGTTTGGATCATTCGTGTCTCGAGGCCGGCCGCCTCGTTGAGCCCATCGTTTCGCTTTCAGGCGGTGTCGCCATGACCCACCAGTGAACTTCTGTGCCTGAGTAACGATGGGCTCCCCAACACTGAAGTTGAGAAACATGCCATCGTCTGCCATGATTGACGCTGATCGGATTCTCTGGTGGCCCGCACTGTAGTTGGGAAGAATGAACACCGAGAGAATCTGGAACTTTTTTCGAACCAGTCGATGCGGGGAGATTTTCGGCTCCGATTGGCTGACGATTCTGGCCCTGCATTTCTTACTCGTGCGATTGTCCGCTGCAGCTTCACCTCAGCCTTCTACATTCCACGCTGCACTTCTCATCATGAACACTTTGACTCATGCGCAAGAAGCGCTGAGTCCATAGTGTTGAAGATGAGGCAGATGCCTCTCTCCAATTGTAGTTCTGTCCCCGTTTCGAAACCTCCATCGAGTATATGAGGGCCATGGAACCACCCGTGCGGCGAGCCTTGAAACAAGCTATCCTAGCTGGACCAGCTGTGAGCCGCGTTCTCCCCTTCAACAGACAGCCATGCCTTCGCCTACATGTGCCTACAATGCGATGGGCCTCCACAAAGGCCGAAGTTCCAACCCCTTTCCCAGTCTTTCGAGATGTACCACCCCTACGAGAAGTGCGCAAGAAAATGTTTCGCGAGGGCAAGGAGGTGGGCTTTGTCGCTACAATGGGGGCACTACATGAGGGTCACCTTTCCCTGGTGAAGCATGCCCTGCAAGAAAACACAGATGTCTTTGTGTCTATCTTCGTCAACCCAACACAGTTCGCAGCGCACGAAGACCTGGACTCGTATCCGAAGACATGGGAGGAGGATCTGCAGAAACTCAAACAGGTTCAAGATGAGCATGCAGCCTCAGCAGGGCCAAATGCAAAATCTAAAATAAAAGGCATCTTCGCGCCCACCGTGAAGGTCATGTACCCAACTCTCCCACCATCGTCAGACATCGCAGGCAATGGATCCTTCGTGACCATCACACCATTGGGCAACCAACTTGAAGGCTCGTCTCGGCCCATCTTTTTCCGCGGCGTGGCAACTGTCTGTACCAAGTTGTTCAATATCATCCAAGCCGATCGTGTGTACTTTGGACAAAAGGATATTCAGCAATCAGTCGTGATCAAACGGATGGTAAAGGACTTTCACATTCCCACAGAAGTACGCGTCATACCGACCAGCCGGGAATCAGATGGTCTGGCAATGAGCAGCCGGAATGTATATCTTGGAGAACGAAGAAGAGAAGACGCCGTCGTACTTTCCAAAGCCCTCTTCGCCGCAAGAGATTTATACAATTCTGGCGAAGTCAGCGGCAAGAAGATCAGAGATGCTGCGTATAATGTCTTCGGCCAGGAGTCGCAGCTGAGAAGAAAAGACGGTAAATTAGGTGGAAGTTGTCAGATTGAGATCGACTATATCGCGTTGAGCGAACCGCAGAATATGGCCATGATCCCAGACTTTGCCAAAGTCGATCCCAGCCAAGGGGCCATTCTCAGTGCTGCAGTATATGTGCAGCCTGTTGACGAGCCCAGGACTGAGAAGGAAGTAGGCCAGAGGGTGGTGAGGTTGATCGATAATGTCATCCTTGAGCCACGAGAGAAGGCACTATGAAGTATGCAGGAGTCCTTGCTATCCTGATATTTTGAGCTTGATTTGTGCATTGCTGGAATTTTGACTTCAGATTTAGGCAAGAACTCGAAAATGTTCACGGACGCATGTTCAGTAGATGTTCCAAAGAGATATTTTGCCATCTTTGCCACCAGCAGCAAGCCAGTGTATCGAACGTGCCTTCTCTTCTCGCTTGCGCTTGATAATGTCCAGTGCTGTAGGTCGTGCCAGGATCTCATTAGACTGAGTACTTAGGTCTGAGCCTGTGTATTCGGTGGGAGCAGCCAAGTCATTGGCTTCAAGATCAAGGTCGGCGAAAGACGTTGCATAGCAACCCTGTTGGTGCCATTGCAGTACCGCCAATTCTTTCATCGTCCGCGTCGAGTAAACGCGAATTCGTGCATCCCAGCCTGCAGTCGCAAATATCTTGCCGTCGGAGCGAATGCTGAGGCCCTGTTGGCCGGCATGTTTTGTCTTGATAGAACTGCTACGGTGGGTCTCCCGCGACTCTCCCGCCATGCCATCTGGAAGATCGAGTGGATATTTGGCGATCCACGAGTCGACACCCGAAGTTATGAAATAGTCCCTTGAAGGCGAAATTTCGAGAGACAGTATAGGTTGTGAACCAGGGCGTAACTTGCTTGATGTAACCTTCTGCCAACCACCTTCTTTGTCGAAGTTCCCGGTACGGACATGAACCATTACTCTTCCATCTTCGTATCCGGATACCACAAGTAGTCTGGATTTTGCATTATCGTGAAATATGGAGACGGCCATGACCATGCCTGTGGGAGAGTCCTGGGCCGATGCTATCTGCGATACTCGTCGCTCGGACGGAAGCTGGAAAATATCTATACCTCCGGAGTCTAGACCGTTGGGAGAGGCCACCAGTTGCGCCTCGGTCTCCGGCCGTGAGGTCCGCCCGGGCAACTCATTGCACATGGAAAAGGCACAAAAATTGAGGGCATTGACAGAGATTGAGTGCAGAAGCCATGGCTCGCGTCGGTCAACCGAGCTTTTATCACCAGGGAGATTCGTAGTCAGATCAGCCAGGTCCTCATCTTGAACCTGCCACACTCGTAATTTGTGATCTCTTCCATGACTGCCCCGACGGTCAGGCCAAATAGAGATTCAAGATACACTCAGCAAAGACTCACCTAACGAGCCTCTTGTGTGTCCAGTGTCGTATACACATGACCGCGCCTTCGTGCCCTTTCCAGACAGCGACGGGGCGCTTCGTGGCCAGACTCCAAATGATCAACCATCCTTCACTGTCGCCCGAGGCGAGGTAAGCGTTCCGGGAATAGAAGCGAAGGGCATGAATGGGAGCATCATGACCACGAAGGATGTAAGTAGGCACTGCTGGTCGGTCCATGGTTCATCACTGTGCCGTGGATTTATGATAGAAGTTGGGCCAGAAAAGGATCGCGATGTCTTATTCTCTCCGATTCACTAGGCCATCACTCACATACATGGGCGTCGTCGCGCATCATCTCCGTTGACCAAGACAAACGATGAGCCTCGAAACGATACCACTAGCAGTACTGAGTTCTTACCTATGCAATGCAGATTGAACGTCAGAACTGAATCGCATCCGCAAGGCACTTGTTGGAGTTTAAAAATGACAAGGAATAATATCAAATGACTGGCTCACTCTCTCTGCCATGACAGTGAAGAAAAAACAGGCGTTTTCTCCACGCACACTTTCACAACATCGTTTTGACTGTCTCTCTGTATTCCACACTATCCAAAAAAAGGGAGGGCGAACTACAAATGTCTGGAGAAGCAAAAACAAAAATGCCCATTATCGGATTCGAACCGATGATCTTGTCATTTATTCGCTTGGTTTAACATACGAGTGACACGCCTTACCCCTGGGCCAAACGGGCATCAAATTTGTGACAAAATTTACGGTGCAAAATTGCTTGCTTTAAATTATATACTTGACACATTCTCCGCACCTTTTACTTCCCCACTTGATACCTACCCTTCTTCCCTTCGGTAAATAACATATCGCACTACGGGTATCTTGCTCTTTAGGTACGTGACTCGTCCTACTGCAATCAACTCATCTACTATACTTGAATATTGTAGCTGATACACGAACTCATGCCTTAACTATCACTTACTCTCCTGTACTCAATGTTCTCCTCAACACTCACATACTATTTGATCCTTGCCTATTCACATAGTTGTTAGGAATCTCCCTCCAGCCGCGTGAAAGAAGTTCCCCTACTTCGCACTACGGCTAATAGCCTGCGTCCCATATTGCTTGCCAAGTCGTCTCTCAATGCTAGCATGCCAATCTACCTAGGCGCTCATCCTCCACCTCTCTCATCAATCGACTCTAGGCGCGCTGGCTTTTTCGGTACGTGCGTGGACCATGATGCCAAACTCACAGTACAGCGACAATGATCATCGTATACATAGGTAAGAGAAAAGGGTCGTAGAGTGGTCCAGTACGACGTCACTCTCTACCGATAGCCAGGGCCTCGACTGTTCGCTAGGTAATATACCCAAGGTGAAACAACATGTCATGGTTGTTTACCATTATTCTGTCCGTGGCAAGTCAGCTAAAAAAAAAAGAGACGGGTTGGTGAGCCGACTCCATCATGCGACTTTACTCAAATTCACGGTTGACCATGGGTTGACGTACATGACAAATTGGTTGAGGGTACTAGACCGGTCTACGGCAACGCCCACATTGCCTCGTGGTCAAGGGAGGTCCCGTCCCTACTCACTTTTTGACTAAAACATTAGGTATTGTACCTACTGTAAGTCGATGCCACTTTTTGTTATTCTCCCTACCTGCCGCTAACTACCTAGTAGATACCTATTGTATTGTATCTATCTAGCGTACTTCGTAGTTCTACCCGCGATGTTATTTCGGTGGCCTATGTATATCAGAAAAAAAAAACCGTTGTGTGCGGGGCCGGAAGTTTGAGCCCATTCCAAAAAGAAAGAAAAAATGGTGGGGATTACTTTTGCAAGTCTATCAACAAGAACAATATGCCCTTCCCTCGTACTGTGTCTCACTCAATAATAATAATCCAAGCTATTCTACAGGGATGTCTTGTAGACACAGGCCAGGACGTATCTCGGGCATAACTCGCATCGAGATCATGATCAAGTTCACGGTTACTTATTCCGTGGAGGAAGCTGGCGATGATCCTGGTCCTGGTTGCGATGGACGAGAAAAGCACCGTGTGACGATAATGAAAAACGTTGGTCTAACTTTCTCTGCGCGCATCAGACAACCGAATTCCTGAACATGATTAGACGCTGCACAAGCGAAGTGGTGCGATAGACTTGGGCGCTAGAAGGCTAGAGAATTGGAATCCTCCTTCAGCTGAGATATGCCGTGCAGGGATACGTCAATATCCTTACCCCGGGTGACGGTCTCAATATTTGTACAAATTCCAACTAAAAACCTCGTGCTTGATAGTTTCAGCCACAACAATCACTCGCATATGGGTGGCGAATACGAGACTAAATGCCACGTGGAAAAGGCCACGAGCTGACCGATGCGAAAGTCGTGTGTGAAACGAAGGGCTATGCCGTTCAGAGACGATGGCGCCGCGGGAAAAAGTCCAGAAGGGTGCAGGTTCGGGCACGCCGAGCGCTGCGGCAAGCAGGGGGAGCCGGGGGTGTTGCCCAGAGAGGAAGACGCATGCAGACGCACGCACCAAAGGGGAAATGCTATTTCGTTTTGACAAGCAGCGCCAATGCAGTTCTAAATGCGAACCGGAATAATCGGACTTGTCCTGATCGTCAGAAACCGTGGTGTGTACTCCGTAGAAGTGTGTGTGGAAAAGTAATACCACCCACACCCCTGGCGAGACTCGAGCTGAAAAACAGCAAGCGAAGACGAAGAAGGATAACGGTTTCAGGTGGATCGAGTCACCTTTAGCGAGTTGGCTACGCCTTCTGCCGGACCATTCCGCTTTGGAATTCTCGGAATGACAAGGGTGTGCCCGCCAACACCGGCTGGATCGTCACCACAAGCGAAGATGCTGTCATGGAAGACCTGAAAGGAGAAGCATTGAGCGCACATCAACCTGGTATCCTGATAGCATGAAATGAAATCAGCGAGCGACAGGCCGACCGGGATCCCAAACCAGTCCTCAGCCCTGAATCTGTCCGTCCACGAAGGGAAGAGATAGTCAATCGTGGTGTTTGTACTCCGTAACTTGCTTAGATGACTGCTTGTGTGTATTCGCTCTTTCTAGGCCGAGTGTGAGAGAACCCTCGAGAGTCATGTGGCCCAGGCAAAGAATCCCTCCGTTTCAGTGTTCCAGTGAGAACCCGCCCTTCTAGACTCGCCCCAGTTATGGTGACAAGCGAAGTGTTTACTGCAAGTCCAAGTGCATGTAAAGGATTCACCGGCTGGATGTTGACAGGAGCGTCAGAAGGAGGGTCGTCTGATTGTTGTTCAGTAGACCGGGACTCCGTGCAGTAATTGCTTTGTTGTGGTGAGTGGTGTGGTTCTCTTCTTTTCCCCTTTTCACCTTGATCAGATCAATAGTCTGCCATTTCTCAGAGGCGTATCCTTGCTTGTGTGGGTGAGAGTTTGATGAGCATCAGGCTGGCAGGTGTCCAGTCACAGCCTGGGTACCGCCCAAGAAGCGTCTGGCGAGTTTCTGTAAGTAGCGTGAGTAGCGTGTGTAGTGGTTCAGCCCAACTGCGCGGCCCCGTAGTTTCGACCCCGGCTGCAGCGAAAACCCACCGTCAATCTTTTCGGCTTCTCCTTGATGCCCCCCTGTCCGTCCTCTGATGTTTGGCGACCGCCGGTGCTAGGGACCAGGTCCTCTGCCAATCACCCGCTGCATCTGGCTTTCGTCGACTCCGAATCTCTAGGGTGCTGTCAAACCTGAAGCCAGTCACACCTCATAGTCGAAAGCCACACCCTAAATCCCAGCAGTGAGCCAGAGCGCTGGAACTGCGGATCGACCCTCGATCATGCCGCAGAAGCCAAAGCCTGGGCCTCGAGGTACAGTCAAGAGGTTGTCGCTTCATAAACATTCATATCTATGCGACCTGTCCGCCGTCTGAACCTTCCCTCGGTCGAACCTTCATATTCTTCTGTCGATCCAGTCCCTACCACAAGTCGGATAGGGTGCTCGTGAACAGGTCGCCTTCAACTGGTATGTCCATGTGTTTCATATCCTCTCAGATCTATCCGTATGCTATCCAGCCCTGTCAAAAAAAATTGCGGGCGGTGGATGCCGTCATTGGTGCCCCCAAGAGGGCCCTGGTTCGGCCCTCGTGCAACAAAGTCCTGCGAATCCTTTCCACCATGAAATATGAAACCCTCCCTTGCACCTGCGACACTTTGGGCTTTGCATTGCTACCGACGCTTTTCTTTTTCCTTGAACAATTCAACTTTCAATATCTGTTGCTCAGATGTATCTTACTCACTGGATACTGACATCCCCCTGCCAGCACATATTCTTGCGACGACCTCGACAGCCCCGGCTGCCGCATCTTACCACTCACAATATTGTCCCCAAAGCCCTGGCCTCTTGTCTACAGGCTCTGTACAGTCGCACAGTTGCAGATTCATCTCCTGAATTTGGCAGAAAAGTTACAAGTACGCCAACAAGGCCAATGGCCCTGAAACCACAGTAAATATTTCAAGCTGGCGCATCATTATTCCTCAGCATACTTGCCCACGGCGGCCTTCCCTCTCTCCGGCACCTATCCAGCCTCGATCGCTCCTATCGCCTACCACAACGATCCCTACTACTCGCGGCAGTTGCAGCTACCACAAGAGCAGGAAGGTGACAGGCGCTACAGACCCTCAAGGCCTACACTCTTGACACCACCCTACGCTGGCGCAGATGCAACGGGCCATGACCAGATTTCTATGACAAGGGCTTCGTCGACCAAATCGACACCCACTTCTCAGACCTTGCAACATAGTCCTATTTCGATGACTGAGCCTGAGGCTCCTCTCCAGGCAAAACCTGAGACTCCACCCACCACCAAACCCAAACGTGTCAGAACCGGTTGTCTTACATGCCGTGAGCGTCACCTCAAGTGTGACGAAGGACTACCCAATTGCCAAAACTGTAAAAAGTCCAACCGAAAGTGCAAACGAGGTGTCAGGCTCAACTTCATTGACACTCAGTGTGAGCGGCCACCACATCTACTCCCACCGACTCATGACTGGGAGGTGACCTTCCAGGATGACTCGCGCGATATTGCTTCAGAATATCAAGGCGGGATCGAGAAGTACCATCCTCTCGAGCCCGAACCGAAGCGACAGAAACTGAGTGTTGCGCCAAATATCAACTACGATTATGGTCAGATCACCGCCCCGATCATTCCTCATCAACAGCTCCCTACCTCACAGTCTTACTCGCATCCATACGTTGAGCAACCTCAGCCAACCTTTGCTGCTGCTTCAGGCCCATCATACGAGAGTGCAGCAAATCATATGGGTTCATATTCCGAACCGCCGCATCCTGTACAACAGTCATATGAGACGCCAATTATGCTGCCCCCGGAGACGCCACCTGCACCTCCGCTAAACAGCCGTGATGAAGTCTTGTACATGCAAGTCTTCGTCGAAGAGGTCGGCTTATGGATGGATTCGATGGATGCCGAAAAGCATTTCTCCCGCCTTATTCCGTTTCAGGCCTTGGGAGAACCCATGCTCAAGTATGCCCTCCTGGCATGCGGAGTGCGACACCTGACCCTGGTAAACACTGCCTATCCTGAAGAACACGCCTTGAACTACTACAACAATGCAACGCAACTCCTTTTGAAATCGCTCCAGAACCCTGATCGTAATAGCGCTCTTTGTGCCACCACAGCCACCATTCTCAATGTCTACGAGGTCATGTCCGAAAAGGCTTTGCAGCGTATGAACCACATTGCCGGTGCC